ATGTATAAATAGAAGGTGTGTATAAATAGAGGGTGTATTGAAATGGCAGTGTATGGGCCATTTTGTTGTATGCATTTGTTGAGGGGGAGGTGTCTGTTGTGAACTTGTTTGGGTTCTGGTGGCCGCAGCTGTCTTGTGCAGCGCGTCGGCTGTTGCACAGGTTGTCTGCTGTCGCGCCGGAGCAGTGGGGAGCCTGGTTGGAGATAGATTGTATAGAAGACCCTCAGCCAATGAGGAGAGTTCGAGAAGTTTCTAGGAGAACTACTGCACCTGCACAACCAGGAGGTGGAGAGTCTTTTAGGAGAACACGCCTAGTATGAATACCTAACGGCTGTTAGACTATAAAAGAAGCTGGGTTGTTTTTCACAGTGCACGTCTTGGTAGAGTAGAGGCTCCCGGCGGGCGCAGCGCTGTTTGCTTGCCTTTATTCATTTAATAAATTGTAAACATTGATTGGAATCCTGTTTGAGACTAAATTAATTTATCACATTGCGGAATGTTGTTCTCACACTGGGGAAGCTATCTCTGTATCTCTGCTGTCTTCCTTGCATGCGCTTCAGCATTTTCCCAAGCATGACCTATAGATATCCCTAGAATTTTTACGTCAGCCAGGGTTTCGGTGATGAAAAGGACATGTTCCCAGCTTAACTGGGACCAAAAAAAACCACAACCCCTCTAGGCTTAAAAGCGGTGAACGTAAGTGTCGCACGCCGCCCCGAGCCGGGCAGGGCCGCGGGCGCGCGGTACGTCACTGCCCAGGGGCGGTGCTTGGCCAGTCACGTGGGGACCAGCGCGGTTTGTTTTGGCAAGCGTTAGGTCTCCGCTTTGACAACGCACCGACTGCCGAAGCACGGGAGCGAATGGGTGCTCTCCCCTTTTTTTTTTTTTTAACAGAGGCACCTCATCCACCGTCACCAGCAAACGCAAGTCTTTTCTTCGCGGCTGTTTGGTAAGTGCTCGGCCGTGCCGCGACGGCCTCACTCGGCAGCTTGCCCGGGCGCGGAGCCCGGCGGCCCGCAGCGCTCGTCCTTCGCGGCGGCGAGGCCCCGGCGCCTGAAGAGCGGCGCGCCTGACTGCCCAGCCGGCGGCGTCCCTTACGAAGGAACGGCGGGGCGGGCG